GTTGCAACGCGGTTGTGAGGCGTTTGCGGAGCGGTAAACACCATTCAAACTTCATTATAGGCGTTTGTGGGCATTTTTAACGCTTGGCAAACACCTAGCAACCGCCGCTAAACCGCACATGCGGCGTTTGCGGAGCGTAAAAAACGCTCCGCACATGCCGGACCAATGCTTGTCAAACGCTATAGGGGAAGTGTGAACGAGCCCTTATGCAGGCCATAGATGGGTCGAAAATCGGCCGATAAAAAAATAAAATCGGCCGATTTTCGGATCGCTAGTGGGCTAATTGTTCAGCCGTTTTTTGGTATTTTGTCAGATTTATTTTTATCGGTAAAGTTGGAAAAAAAATTTTGCGCCAATTATGGGCAAATCGGCCGATCTTTTTACCGATAAAAAAATCTGCGCATGAGCTGTGACCTGCAAGAGGAAGACAAAAAGAAGAAGAGGATGAAGAAGAAGAGGAAGAAGAGGATGAAGAAGAAGAGGAAGAAGAGGATGAAGAAGAAGAGGAAGAAGAGGATGAAGAAGAGGAAGATGAAGAAGAGGATGAAGAAGAGGAAGAAGAGGATGAAGTAGAAGAGGAAGAGGATGAAGAAGAGGATGAAGAAGAAGACGAGGATGAAGAAGAGCAAGAAGGAGAAGAGGATGAAGAAGAAGAGGATGAGGAAGAAGAAGAGGATTAAGAAGAAGAGGAAGATGAAGAGGATGAAGAAGAAAAAGAGGAAGAAGAAGAAGAGGATGAAGAAGAAGAAGAGGATGAAGAAGAAGAGAAGAAGAAGAAGAGGATGAAGAAGAAGAAGAGGATGAAGAAGAGGAAGAAGAAGAGGAATTCCAGTCCAGCAAAAAGTGTCCCTGCAGAGAGCTCCGCTATTTCTTTGACAGTTCCTTGACATTTATAGCGGTTGCAACAATGTATCTATTTGTTTCTGAATAAAAACATCTGCATCCTAAATGGATACAAATAGATACATTGTTGCAACCGCTATAAATGTCAAAGAACTGTCAAATAGCGGAGCTCTCTGCAGGGACACAGGATGAAAATCGGCCGATTTTTTTTACCGTTGCTAATAACGTCGGCCGATTGACCGATTTTACGTTTTTTTTAAAGAAAAATCGTCCGGTTTTCTCCCCATCTATGGCCTGCATTAGAGTGTCTTTTTTACTGTCTGGGTGACATAGGCACTTCTTTTTGGCTGTCCAGTGGTGGGGTCCTCTTAGGCCGGGTGTCGGCAACCCGCGGCTCCAGAGCCGCATGCGGCTCTTTTTCGCCTTTGCTGCGGCTCCGGAGCACACTGCCCACCAGGTGACAGGCAATAGGGTTGCCGTAGCTCAGTGGTCGGCAAGCCGCGGCTATTTAACTCTTTAATGCGGCTCTTCTGTGTGCCGGGCGCCCGCTCCCCTCCCTCCTCTCGGGCGGCCGCCCCAAAAGTCAGGACTCTGTAGAGCGGAGCGTGGCAAACATTGGCAGTCAGGATGTAGGCGGGGCAGCATGACGAACTCCTCTCCTCTCACAGTCCGCCCTGAAGACCGGAACGGCGCGGGAACACGGCGAGAGGAACGCGCGGAGCAAAGGTAAGTGAATTGACACAATATGGGGAATGAATTACTATAGGGGGGATGAATTACTATAGGGGGGATGAATTACTATACGGGGGATGAATTACTATATGGGGGATGAATTACTATGGGGGATGAATTACTATATGGGGGATGAATTACTATGGGGGATGAATTACTACTATATGGGGGGTTAATTACTATATGGGGGATGAATTACTATGGGGGATGAATTACTATATGGGGGATGAATTACTATGGGGGATGAATTACTATATGGGGGATGAATTACTATAGGGGGGATGAATTACTATGGGGGATGAATTACTATGGGGGATGAATTACTATATGGGGGATGAATTACTATGGGGGATGAATTACTATATGGGGGATGAATTACTATGGGGGATGAATTACTATGGGGGATGAATTACTATATGGGGGATGAATTACTATAGGGGGGATGAATTACTATATGGGGGATGAATTACTATATCGGGGATGAATTACTATATGGGGGATGAATTACTATGGGGGATGAATTACTATATGGGGGATGAATTACTATGGGGGATGAATTACTTTATGGGGGGTTAATTACTATATGGGGGATGAATTACTATGGGGGATGAATTACTATATGGGGGATGAATTACTATAGGGGGGATGAATTACTATATGGGGGATGAATTACTATGGGGGATGAATTACTATGGAGGATGAATTACTATATGGGGGATGAATTACTATATGGGGGATGAATTACTATATGGAGGATTAATTACTATAAGGGGGATTAATTACTATATGGGGGATGAATTACTTACTATATGGGGGATGAATTACTATGGGGAATGAATTTACTATAGGGGGGATGAATTACTATATGGGGGATGAATTACTATATGGGGGATGAATTACTATAGGGGGGATGAATTACTATGGGTAATGAATTACTATATGGGGGATGAATTACTATGGGGGATGAATTACTATATGGGGGATGAATTACTATGGGGGATGAATTACTATGGGGGGATGAATTACTATATGGGGGATGAATTACTATGGGGGATGAATTACTATATGGGGGATGAATTACTATGGGGGATGAATTACTATATGGGGGATGAATTACTATATGGGGGATGAATTACTATATGGGGGATGAATTACTATATGGGGGATGAATTACTATGGGGGATGAATTACTATATGGGGGATGAATTACTATATGGGGGATGAATTACTATGGGGGATGAATTACTATAGGGGGGATGAATTACTATAGGGGGGATGAATTACGATGGGGGATGAATTACTATGGGGGATGAATTACTATGGGGGATGAATTACTATATGGGGGATGAATTACTATGGGGGATGAATTACTATATGGGGGATTAATTACTATGGGGGATGAATTACTATATGGGGGATGAATTACTATGGGGGATGAATTACTATATGGGGGATGAATTACTATGGGGGATGAATTACTATATGGGGGATTTATTTTCAGTTTTAAAAATGTGGCTCTCAAAATAAATTTCAATCGTGGTTTTGGCGAGATTTGGCTCAGTTGAAAAAAAAGGTTGCCCACCACTGACCTAAGGCTATGATTGTGATTATGACGATACACTGTGGCCCTGATTAACCCTTTGCTTACTGGGCCCTTAAACCCCCTTCATGACCAGAGCGCTTTTTGCAATATATGCAGTGTTGGGTTTGTTTTAAATGTTGCAATGGTGTTGCGGCTCCCAGTCTTTTTTTCCCTCTCGGAAACGGGTCCAAGTGGCTCTTTATGTCTTAAAGGTTGCAGACCCCTGTCTTAGGCAGTGAGTAGCTTTTTTTTTTTTTACCTAGTGAGTGCTGAATCTATGAATAAGTACTGTGTGATTGTGCTTGTTTCTTTGAAAAATACATTTTTATCTTTAATAGTCCAAAGAGTGGTGCAATTTTATAAGGCTTTTCTGTAAAAAGAAAGATATTTATGCTCTGAGTGTTTCCCTTTAAATGAAAAAGTACTGATGTCCAATTTTAGATGATAATGGTTGTGTAACACCTCGCATTGCTCTTTTATCTGAACGTTTTTGGCAATTACATGCACAGCCTTTATAGCAGTGTGTTAAGCCTCTCACCAATAGCCTCCAACAATATACCATACAAGTGACTGCTTTCTTCTGTACTTGGTAATATGTGCATGTGTCCAACTGATAATTTTCCAGCAGCAGCAATGCAAACATACATGAAAGACACACCAAATTATATAGAAAATTGTATACAGTTCTGTGAAGCAGCAGCCTGACTTCACCGGCTCTATAAAAGTAACATCACAATATCTGTCCAAGGCTGTAATTGTGTGTTTTGTCATTATAAAGCCAAAGGTGAGTTTGTGCTCTTCGTGGATAAAAGGCTTCTAGTTCTATAAGAGGGTGAATTGGCCAGTTGTAGGAGTTTTTATTGATCTGTTTCTATAGCTTAGCGGTTATCACCTGTGACTTTCCATTCTGGAGTCTGAAGTTAGACTCATAACTGGGGCAGTACTGTAGGCTCTACTTTGGCTGCTTTCTTTCTGAAACCCAGCGATAACCACAAAGGTTAAAAAAAACAGAGCATTGGGCAAATATTTGGGCAGCCATTAGAAACCTCTCTTGCGGAAAATGCTCTTTCTCTGGCGCCATGCAGGTCTATTGAATTCTGTAAATTTCAGAGCTGTGACTCCATGCCTGTTAATGTTTTTATGGCTCCAAAACTGAAGCTGGCCACGCATTGTGTGAATTTCAGTCAGTTGCTGGGGAACCAGATTACATTTTCTCAGTGGGCAGTCCTGCAGGCTAAGCTCCTTTTGACAAAGGTTAATTGTCTGAGCGACTTTTGTAGAAAGAGCCTGCTGGAAATTTTTGGTTGAACAGCAGTGCATCCAAATAGATGCAGGCACCATGTGGGTAAATTGATAGCTGGCTGTCAGTATACAATAGCCATGGGGGGGATGGGGTAGAATCATCCATCTGCAATGTATAGCTTGGATGGAGGAATCTGCTAGTGTTTTTTTTATATATAACCTGCTTACTGAACGAAACAAAAACTATCAGTGCATGGCCAGCTTAAGAGTTTTAAGAGGGAGGACAAAAATGGCTGCCTAAATACACTAGGACAGTGATGGCGAACCTATGGCACGCGTGTGCCAGAGCTGGCACGTAGAGCCATCTCAGTGGGCACGCCAGGAAGAAGAGGAAGATGAGCGCACACGGACCACGCACACTGACCGGCCATCCAGATCTCGTCCACACTGGACCCCCATCAAACTACATCTCCCACATGTCTCTGGGGCCAGGGTGGGTGTGGACGAGAGGAAACGGCTCCTATGTGGATTTGGCACCAGGGGTGATGTAGCCGGGGATGGGCGTGGAAGAGAAGAAGAGGCTCCCACACTGCTCCGGGGCCAGGGGCGATGTGTTCAGCATGGATGGGAATGAGCTGCTGGGTTGGAAGCCACACCGACACTGCCAGAGGTGAGATTAACTGCTTGCAGTGTCATCCATCAGTGCCCAGAAGTGTCACCCATCAGTGCCCAGCAGTGTCGCCTGTCAGTGCTGCCCAGCAGTGCCACCTGTCAGTGCCCAGCAGTGTCGCCCATCAGTGCTGCCCATCAGTGCCTCCAGTTGGTGCTATCAGTCAGTGCCGCTTATCAGTGCCCATCATTGCTGCATATCAGTGCATCATCAGTGCCTCCTCATCAATGCCCACCAGTGCCGCCTCATCAGTGCTACCTATCTGTGCCACCTCATCAATGGCTATCAGTGCTGCCTATTAGTGCAGCCTCACCAACGCACATCAAAGAAGAAATATTACCTGTTTGCAAACTTTTATAATAGAAGCAAAGAAAACCTTTTATGTTTTTAATTTTTTGATCTTTTTTCATTTATAGTGCAAAAAATAAAACACCCAGTGGTGATTAAATACCACCAAAAAAAGCTCTATTTGTGTGAAAAAATGAGTGTTGCATGACCACACAATTGTCATTGTCAAGTGCAACAGCACTGAAAGCTGAAAATTGGTCTGGGCAGGAAGGGGGTAGAAGTGCCCGGTAGGCAAGTGGTTAATTGCAGTGTTGGCACTTTGAAATAAAAAAAGTTGGTTTTGTGTTGCAGTTTTGGGCACTCGGGCTCAAAAAGGTTTGCCATCATCACTGCACTAGGATATGAACATTATTATTATTATACAGGATTTATATGGCGCCAACAGTTTGCACAGCTCTTTACAAAATGAAGGTAGACATTAAAGTCACAATACAATTTGGTACTAGAGGAAACAGAGGGCCGTGAGCTTGTTGGACATCCTATTACAAAACCATGGGCATTGATATGGAGCTGGTATCCTCTGTGCAGCTATAAAAGCCTTCTAGAAGACTTTTCGCTAAAGTTGTCTTTAGGAATTTGTGTCTGTTCAGTCAAAAGAGTTCTCTGGTACTGATCTTGGATGAGAAGACCTGGCTCACAATTGACGTTCCAATTCATCCCAAAAGTATTGTGTTAGGTAGGGTTGAGGCCAGGGCTATGCGCAGGCTACGTGAGTTCCTCCACACCAAACTCATCAAACCAAATCATTATGGCTTTGTACACAGTGACAGTCATACTGGAACAGAAAAGGTCCTTCCCTGTTCTCCCAAGGTTGGAAGCACACATTTGACTGAAGTGCCTTTTTTATGCTGTAGCATGAATAGTACTCTTCAATGGCAACATCTTTAAAGTAGACACAAGGCCTGCTAATCTTGCAGTTCCCCACTCCCTGATGAAGAAATGGTAAACGCTACAAAAAAAATGTAAAATTCTGAAAATACATTACAGTTTCTGGAGGTCTTGTCTAGTCGAGGGTGACGTCACTAGGCATTCTCTTGGGATCCTCAGAGATGTGACGATTCCAAATGTGGTGAGCAAGTGCTCCTATACATCATGGAGCAGCTTATCCTCAGATTTGGGATCCTCAGTTTTCCTAGGATCCCATGGTGAGGCCCAAATGTGTCACTAACACCTATAGAATTGGTCTGAGAAGGTTCTCATTTACCCAGGTCATGGTATCTCTAAAATTAGTCAGTCACATTCAACTGGACTTATTCTGTAATGTTGACCTGGTTTCATAGCGTATCCAAGCTGCTTCTTTGGTTCTAATAAGTGTCAGGAAATGCAGATATTATTGTCCAAGCTCAGGATGACAATAATTCACCCTATTGACCATGTAAATCAAGGGATTAACACACTATAAAGCCTTAGGATGGGAGAATGTAAGTAAGGCAAGGTGATTCCACAATTTCCAACCCCCCCATTCTGTTTTTGGTCACTAACAACTGCTGTTCCATGGTAATTGGGGTAAGGTACCTGTTCTATCAGTGTGGATATAAATGTTGGGATATCTTCCTGACACTCATTAGAACTGAGAATGTGGCTTGGAAACGTCTTCAACATTATAGACCAAGTCCAATAAATGTGACTAACTACTTCCAGATATAGGTTGCTTCTAGCTTGATGTGGTGGAAACTTCACTTTTAGGATCAGGAGATATTCTGGTTTGTACTACTGCTTGTATAAATGAAAGTAAAAGAGCTATTTAACCTCCTCGGCGGTATGATTCTTTCCGATTTTTTGTGCTGAAAGCGGTACCATTTTTTTGCATAGAAATATGTAGTTTTTTATTGTAGGCTGTAATTTTTAGGAATAACTCACTGAAATCTGTCTGAACAAGAGTCTAGTAAACATTCCGGATATGATAAAATTTGAAACACGAAATCATAAATTATAATTTCATAAATAATCATAAAAAATAATAATATAATAATAAATAAATTTAATTCAATAATATAATCAAACCAAAAACACTGAAATTTTAAATACAGAGGCAAATTCGCACATCGCTGAGCAAAGTCGCAAAATCGTTTTCAGTGTCTGATGACGAATTTCCCCACGAATCATTATCACTCAATTCTGCAAGTGGTTCTGATTTACTATCGCTGTTCTAAAACCGCTTTTGACGTAAAGGGACGCTTTTTGGACGCCATGGACTTTTCTAAGTTTCCAGGCAGAAAGAACAGTCAAAATGCAGGCAGGGCGCCGGACAAAGCAGTAGCGACAAAATATATGGGAAATGCATTGAAAAAGCAATGACAGCAAAAATGAAATTTTTTAAAAATTTAAAATTTCCCGCCGGTTCTGGCGCCCGTACGTCCCGACGTCACAGGGACCGGAACACAGAAGCCAGATGCCGGCATCGGTCGGAGGAGATGGCCGGGGACGCTGCAGGGAACACATCGTGGGAGCGAAGGACAAGGTAAGTGCTGCAGGGACCCCCGGAGAACGCCGCATGGTAAGCCCGAGTGTAGCTCGGGGTTACCGATCTTGGTACAGAAATTTTACCCCGAGCTACACTCGGGAATACCGCTAAGGAGGTTAAAGAAAGACCCAAGAGAGGTGTAACGTGAGAATTTCTTTACATTGTTCTTGGGTTTTTTTTGTCTTTGACTTCATATTTTTCAATCAGTAGGTGGGTAGGGACCTGATAAGCAGACCATTGTACCGTGTATGTTTTATTATATATCATTCAAACCAGGATAGTAATAAACCTGCATGACAATATTTTTCCACTGCATAACCAAGTCTCTCATTTTATTAAAAAGTTTACCAGTTTAAATACTAACATAATCTTTTGGACAGTAGAACGTTTCACAGTGTACAGATGGCTTTCTATGGGCTGTCGGTACATTACATTAAGTGGTTCGCACCTCCATGACACAGGTAACTCCATGACACCTGCATTTTCAATGCTCAAATGTCACAACATAGGCAGAAATGGTTTCAGTGTACAAGATGCAATAGAACTGCAAAAGAGAAAATCCATATTGACACAATATATAATTGATACAATACTATAATACATTTCAAATCACTGCCTTCTCTTCTACGCATGTTAGTGAAAGGTGCAGCATCCTGTGATTTTCTGCCATGCAGTATAACTAAAGGTAAAACTTTTTTAAGTTTTGGATAGAATGGAGAGGGATTAGAACCTCTGTCATGTTTTTTATTGCTGCCTGTGTGCCCCTTTAGGGACTTTCTCCCACTCTATTTGTCCTGTTTTCTGTTATCAGTTAAAGAAAATCCCAAATTTGGGGTTTTCCACAGAACAGTAATAGAGGGGAAATCATACATTGAGAGCACTAGTTCTGGTGATCCTGGTGACAGCCAGGGATTCCTTCACTTCCTCTTTTGACTATGGGACAGGAAGTGACGGGAAATCTTCCCAATCGGACACAGATGACAAAAAAGCTGACATGGATTATATCCCTCCTTTATCCATCCAAAAAAAGATTTGGCTGTAGTTCTACTTGAAGTGAATATCCAACATGAATCTAGACTGGAAGGTATTATATAATCCATTTTACCCCCAATCTATCAGCAGTCAGTTAATGAGGCCCCCACTAGCAGAACGGTAATGGGGTTCTGATGTGTGCTTTTGTTGAGAAAATATATTAATTAGTAGTAGTACCTCCTCACCGGCTTATCTCACCGCAGGCTATCCCCGCTTCAGTCGATCTTGAATGCTGCGGCCAGACTCATCCACCTTACTAACCGCTCCGTATCCGTCACCCCCCTCTGCCAATCCCTCCACTGGCTTCCGATTGCCCAACGGATAAAATTCAAAATGCTAACATTGACGTACAAAGCTGTTCATAACACTGCCCCAAACTACATCACTGATCTGGTATCCAAATACCACCCAAAACGTACTCTCCGCTCCTCACAAGACCTCGTGCTCTCTAGTTCCCTGGTCTCCTCCTCCCATGCCCGCCTCCAGGATTTCTCCAGGGCTTCCCCCATCCTCTGGAACTCCCTACCCCAATCCATCAGATTATCACCTACTCTCCTCACCTTTAGGCGCACTTTGAAAACCTACTTCTTCAGGGAAGCCTAGCCCACCCTCAGCTAATTACCGATCTCCTCCACTCTCCCTACCATTCCATCCCCCACAGCTATTTCCTCCTGTACCACTATCCCCTCCCTCCTAGATTGTAAGCTCCAAGGAGCAGGGCCCTCAAACCCCTCGTGTATTGAATTGTATTGTTACTGTACTGTCTCGTGTATTGTCTCCCATTATAATGTACAGCGCTGAGCGAACTGTTGGCACTATATAAATCCTGTATAATAATAATAATAAAGATTTTCCTAACATTTGCTCAAGATTCTCCCAAAAGCAGATGATGAGCATTCACTCTATGCCACATTAGTGAAAATTCACCCAATAGTTACCAAGATTCACCGAGTAAAAAGGCATTCCATCAACCTATTTTTATCCAAATTTGCCTGACTTGAGCTGCCTAATCGTAATCACTTCTGAAAATGTGATGATTGTCTTTACTTAGGGCTGATCTTACATTTCCTATGAGCCCTGCTGTACCTTTGAAATCATTGCATTTGCTTCAGTGGCAGTGTGGGCTTGGACAGGGGCATGCTGATAAGAGGAGCTGTATTTCAAGTGCTCCTTTCCCAGTTTAAATACTAACTTTTACTTCTGATGAGGTTCTTCCATCATCAACACTTTTCCTGGGTGGGTTTGAGTGGTAGTTTGTGCCTGTGTGCTCAGTATTCTTTATAAGTGCAATGTTTGCATTTTAACTATTTAAACATAGTATTACCTGTGCTATTTGGTGTGCTTGTGTTGTGCTTTATTGTTCATGAACTTGGTATAGTCATCAGTGGGCAGCAATGCTTTAGGAGAAGGGTCCCATTTTTGGGGGGCAAAACCCTTCTCAAAGCACCACACCTTGCTAAAATGTATGTAGTCTGATATCAGCTTAGCAGGTAGGTTGCCTGCTGGCAGCTCCCATCCTATGGACACACAAGCCTTGGACGGGGTGGCCATTCCAATTTTATTCATTTAGTTACCCAAAGTGATTGTAATGCATTTTTTTTTCTAAAATAATAAACATGTCATACTTACCTGCTCTGTTCAATGGTTTTGCACAGAGTAGCCCTTATCCCCCTCTTTTGGGGTCCCTCGCTGGAGGTCCTGGATCTTCCTGCCTTCCGAATGCCCCCATAGCAAGCCTCTTGCTATGAGGACACTCATGTGGGCTCGATCAGTAGCCGCACTGTGTGCATCTATGGACACACACAGTGCAGCTCAGCCCCGCCCCCTGCTCTGTTTACAGGATTTGATTGACAGGCTCAGTGCTGTATTGAGATCAGGCTCGGAGGCTGACACGGAAAGGTTTTTTTATCTTATTGCAAAGAATGCATTGAGGTAAAAAAAAAAAACCCTTTTACCTTTACAAGCATTTTAAGTAATGAAAATAGAATACTCTGTATTGTAAGTATATGATAATTATACTTTGTTTGCATCAAACTGCCACACTTCAAACTTAAAGGCAGGTCAATGAATGAATCATGTTTTGTGGAATACTATTTAATACCGATCTTGTTCTGTGTAGACATTTGAAGAACAGTGTATAATGTTCCCCTGTCATAGCAGTCTGAGTAGAGCAGTCTACATTTTGTGCAGTTATCCATAGAATATTTACATAAATTCACCATTCTATACATGTAGAACCTTTCCTGCACAACCTGTAAACACCAATTTTGGTATTTATCGTGCAGCTCCTGGCCCCTGCCAAAATATTAATCAGACCTGATCAGCATGCGACCTGAGCAAAACTGAACTGGACTGTTCCTGGATATGTTGCTTTCTGTCTTGCGACCCATGACATGAGGAACATCTTGCAACACTAAGGTCTCATGCACCCTGGACATTTTTGCGTTCTCTCCTATACACTTTCCCTCCTAGCAGTGGTGTTTTGGCAGAAGAAGAGCTCGATGCTTGTAAATGCAATGCGTTAAGCGTGTATAGGCACGTCAACTGCGTGGGCGTTAATTCATTGAATTAATTAGTAAATTATTATTCTGGGCATTGAAATAAATTAACGCTCAAGCGCTGAACGCCTTTACACGTGTCAAGCGTTTTTCCTGGCTGCTGCTCCTGGATGCTGTGGCCGTGGTGTTTTTATTTTCTGCCTCTAAGCGCCCTTGCCCTTAACCACTTCCAGACCGGACACTTTTACCCCCTTCCTGACCAGGGCAATTTTCAGCTTTCAGCACTATCACACTTTGAATGACAATTGCGCGGTCATGCAACACTGTACCCAAATGAATTTTTTTACCATTTTTTTGAGACAGATAAAGCTTTATTTTGGTGGTATTTATTCACCGCTGGGATTTTTATTTTTTTTGCTATGTAAATGAAAATGTCCAAAAAATTTGGAAAAAAGTGTTTTTTTTAATAAAATTTTGCAAATAAATAATATTTCATTATAAATCTTTGCCAAAATTTTTTCCGTTATCTTTTTAGTAAAAAAAAAAATCCAGATTAGTTTATAACCAAAAATTATAATTTTTAAACATTTTTTTTACATTTTTATTTTTTTACATACTGTCACCCTAGCAGTACAGTGTCACCATGGTGACACTGTACTACTTGTGGGGGGTGATGAAAAATTTTTTTTTTTTTTTTTTTTTACACATTGCTTTTACACCCATATAGGATGTAAAAGCAATCATTTCTCTTTCTCTCTGTGTGCATTCTTGCACTCATTGAGAAGTACTGAGTGAGCTGTGATTGGTCACAGCTTTTCACATGGTACAAGCCTGTTGTGAATAGGCTTGTACCATGTGACCTCTGTGATCATTCACAGATTTCACACGTAGTAAGCAATGATGTCACAAGTGACATCTTGCTTACTACTTTGCATGTGATCACTGATTGGCCGATCAGTGATCACATGATCGGGACCTCGTAGAGAGGTCCCGTCCGACGATCGGTGTTTCACTGTGGACACAGCGGGCACCGGATCGTGGTGCTGCTGCGTGCTCCCAGGGAGCGCGCACAAGCAGGGTGCGGGGAGGCCGTTTATAAACGGCTACCCGACCCTGCACTGCCACCGTCCGGCTGTTTATATGCAACGGCCGGTCGGGAAGTGGTTAAACTATATAGGCTAATATGCAGGGGCGTTTAGAGGCAAACCCCCCCCCCCCCCAAAAAAAAAAACCAAGCAAGCACCAGACACCCGTAAGTGCAGCATCAAAAATGTCCAGTGTGCATGAGGTATAAATAGGAAACCGGGGAATGTCCGTTCTGTAGAACTATATGTGTATTACAAGAATTTCTGAATGAGACCACAGCACCTGAACCATGCAAGCTGTTGTTCTCTAATATGGTACCTACACAGCCAGAACATGAACTGCAAATGAAGTCAGATTATTGCTTAGACTGTATTCCTGCTAGTTACATTGTCCAGTTCATTTCTTTACATCCTCTTTTATTTATGCCATCAGTTCCCTTTTTCTTTTGTTTGTATTCATTTTCCTCTGGTCTTTTAGAATGGATCTTCATATGGGGAACATCGAATACGTGGACAGGTATATTTCCGGCAGCTGTAGGGAGCAGAAAAGTGAGAGCATTTGCTTCTAAATGGGCTGTAATGGCAGTGATTTCTAGCAGTCTCTTGTATAATGTCCATAGTTTCTGACTATGTCCTGCAGACAGTCTCTAGTCTCCAATCTTTCCTGTAGTATATCTGCAGTTTTTGAAAATCTCCTGCAATGAGATTGCAGTCATTGACAGTTCAGACTTTTTTTGTAGCAGTACATAAACAGACTGTTTTATGTAATGTGTGGCCCTTTGACAATGTCAGGAACTGACCCTGATGAGCCAGATATCCAGTCAGTTGACCATCAATGAGCTTAGCATTGACATAGTAGCAAACAGTTAACATTTGTCATAGGAAACGGCAACTACTTTACCAGCTAGTATAAACGTGAAGCAGCATATTCGTTTTTTTCTTTGATCCATAGGCCAGAGATGTTTGACATTTTTATGTTTGAGTAACAGGTGTTGCGCTAGCTTTGCAGGACGTATTTGCCTGTACAGTGCCAGGGTACAGCTGAGCTCCTTTGGGCTTGCAACCTAGCTCTGGATTATGGATAATCACAAATATTCATACCAATTCAGGGCACAATGAAGGAATATGTTAGCATAACAAACACGTCAGAATGATGGTTTTAATTGTGCCATGAGAGGAGAAAGTGACAACTATCTTCAGATCAGAGTGGAAGCTGGCTTGCCACTTCATTGCCGCAGCACAGGTAGCATTTTTCACCTTTGTTAAACTTGTTGCTGTGCCAGTAAAGATGTAGCTCCCACTAGATTCCAAAACGATGAATTTCATATCCAGCAACTTGGTAACCCCACAAATTAAAAGTGCTCCACATGGGGTCCTGATACAGAAGCAGTTTATGCTGTTTTTAAGATATGATATCTCATCATAATCTTTCAGCAGCTGCGTTACATTTATGGAACCGAAACAGAGAGAGAGATAAAATTGTCTATGTTATGAGAGTACATCATACTTAAGGAGGTCTCCTGAGTTGGAACAGAGCATATTCTAACAGATGGGCTGACCTCACTAGTCGCATTCCTCTCGTTCCTTCTTAGCTGTTGCCCTGGGCACACTGCCTTGATCAAATGTCTTTTGAAAGTGTCACTCAACACAATGTAAATGAAAGGGTTTATGCAGCTGTTGGCGTACCCAAGACTGATGGCCACATTGTAGGCATAGAGGAACATCACTGTTGGGTGCTCAACTTTGAGGTGCACCAGCTGAAGAATATAATAAGGTGCCCAGCAAATGAAGAAGGCCGAACAGATTGTTACAGATGTTCTGGTAATCTTCTTGGACCTCACACGGAAATTCCTTTGTGGCAAAGGGACCACCATGCAGGATATGTGCTTCTGGATCTTGATGTAGACCACACAGATGATCAGGAGTGGGATGACAAATGCCAAAAAAAACTGGTAGAGGGTGTACCAATAGATGTCTATAGATAAGTTAGGCAAGATTATGCCACATCCGGCATTGCCATCGGGAAGCTCGATGAGTTGGGTGTACATGAAGACTGGGATGATGGTAATAAGGGAACACAGACACAACAGCAGGATAACCATGGCCGCTGCACAAGTGGTCCTCACATAGGAAGAGCGAATTGGGTGCACCGTGGCCAGATATCGGTCAACGGACATGGCAGTGAGGATGTAGGTGCTTGCAAACTGGCTGTTGGCATCAAGAGCGGTGATGATTGTGCACATGGTGGCTCCAAAATGCCAGACTCCATTTCCCAGCAACTGGTGAATAAGGAAGGGCATGCCAAGGAGAAAGAGGAGATCAGTTACAGACAGGCTAACTATGAAGATATCAGCAATGTTGTGGTTCCCTTTCGGCTTTTTGTTGATGGTATAGATGACGATGCAGTTACCAATGATGCCCACTAAACATATGATGCCAAAGATGACAGGAAGGACGATGCTGCTGTGTTCTTGTCTTCTACTGAACACTGGGGAGAGAAATAGGAATGTTATATTAATCAGAACACATCTCTAATGAAATAAACACACTTCACAGGGGAAAAAAAACTATTTATTTACTATGGTAGATCATAATAGTGCAAAATAGATACCTTAGGCTCCATGCACATTAGCGTTTTTTTAAGCTCCCAGAAGCTGTTATCAGCATATTTTGTTCTGCTCCTAGAAGCTAAATAGTGTTCTCCTATGTGTCAGTGCACACTACTTTAGGCTATTAGCATTTTTTGAGCTTCAGCGTCTAGGACCAGAAAAATAAATATTTTTGTAGAGTTTTTTGGAGCGTTTTTCCAGCAGAAAAAAACGCTAAACACTCCTAAACGCAGGTAAAAAGCTACTAAAATGCTCCTCAGGGGTGTGGAAATTTTTTTAAAAACTACTTGTCCAGGAACTAAATCATTGTCCCAATCTACTTGTCTCTGATGACAATCTGATAAAAAAAATTAACCAAAACCATTTAGAAATCTGTTTTAATTTAAAAACAAAAGGGGCTTTATGGCGACTTAAACTTTTAATATTTTTAACATTGCGCTGTTTATCTCCTCCTCCCCTCCCTGCCTCTCCCCAGTACTATACCCGGAAACTAGCAGGGAGGGGAGAGACCTTGCAGTGTAATGAGCACTTGTTGGGTGCTCGTCAGGTAAGGGGAGTGGCTTATCCTTTATCCCTTTCACTGCCAGAGCTATTTTTGCTATTTTTATAGATTATCAGTTTAGTGTTACGGAGGAGGTCTGGTGCTTTCATTCTGGCGTACGTGCCAATATGTAACATGTGGATCGCAATCGTCGTTTTCATGTGTAGGCACCCCAGCGCTTTTACGTTTGTACGTGCGTACAAATGTAGGGGTGGGGGGCCTTGGTTAAACAAGTTTTTACCAGCTTTACAGTTACTTTTGATAATTGGAAGAGACCAATCATGTCTCTTCCTAAGTGCCTGTTCCCTAAAGTAAATAAGTTACATTTATTTTTTTTCGCATAGCCAAGATCCTCCTGCCCCCTTAATATTTGTAATGCCTGTCGCTGGACTCTTTCTAATTCTAGGACATCCTTTCTGTTCATTGGTGACCAAATCTGAACTGTATATTTGAGATGAGGCCGAAGCAATGTTTTGTAAAGTGGTAAGAGTATCATCTTGGGGGGAAGACGAGAAACTCGGTTTTGGAGAGGTTCGGTTTGGGGAGGTGGAGCGGCGTCCAGTCTGACGTGTCGCTCAGTGGGTGTGTGGTTCGGGCAGAGACTGAAGGGGTGAGGTGGGGGGATGAGAGGGGTTGGGCTCCGTTTCCTCCACCCCCCTCTGCCAATCCCTCCACTGGCTTCCGATTGCGCAACGGATCAAATTCAAAATCCTAACACTGACGTACAAAGCTGTCCACCATACTGCCCCGAACTACATCACTGACCTAATATCCAAGTACCGCCCAACACGCACACTCCGCTCCTCACAAGACCTCCTTCTCTCTAGTTCCCTGGTCTCCTCCTCCCATGCCCGCCTCCAGGACTTCTCCAGGGTGTCACCCATCCTCTGGAACTCCCTGCCCCAACCCATCAGATTATCACCTACTCTCCTCTCCTTTAGGCGCACCCTGAAAACCTATCTCTTCAGGGAAGCCTACCCCACCCCCTGCTAACTTGCCAACCTCCTCCACTCTTCCTACCACTCCATCCCCCACAGCTATCTCCTCCTGTGCCACCATCCCCTCCCTCCTAGATTGTAAGCTCGAAAGAGCAGGGCCCTCGATCCCCTCATGTTTTTGCATTGTATTGGTATTGTTCTGTCACATGTTCTGTCCCCCTTTGTAATATACAGCGCTGAGTGAACTATTGGCGCATTATAAATACTGTAATAATAATAATAATAATCTTGTCCCCAAATAAATACCCTTTTTAATACACGGAAGTATTTAGCTTGCTATCCTAGTGGTGGCCTGGCATTGCCTGACACTATTAAGTCTGTGGTCCAGTAGGAACCCCAAATCTTTTTCCATCACCAATTCTCCTAGTGTAATCTATCCTAGTTCTGAAATCTACCCTCTGCACACTGCTATACACTCTTTCTAGCAAACTTTGCATAACATCAGGAATTTCTAGTTCATGTACATTGCAAGACATGTTTAACCACTTCTCCTCCACCCTATAGCAGAACTACTGCTACAGAGTGGCAGGGGTGCGCAAAATCATGTAGAAATACGTGATTTTGCAGTTCTGGGTAGGGAGCGCACGTGAGCTGCGCATCCGTGCCACCATTCGCAGCCTCGGCTGTCAATCACCGGGTCCTGGCCAGTGATTACTCGCCGGCACCCGGTGATCGCCAAGTATCTCTGACGGGGGAGAGAGCTGTATGTAAACAATACAGATCTCTCCCCTGTCAGCAACTGCACACTACTTTGTATGGCTCTGCATAGCATTTGCAAATACATGCGTAAGCTACAGAGCCACGTCACGGCACCCCGATATTCTGTAGTTCCTAACTCTCCAATTTTAGGAGCCCCCATAGTAGAGGTACATGTATTTAATGGATAGACCAAGGGCAGATGGACCTGAGGGAGCCCACCCCTCCTTAAAAGTACAGGAGTGCACTGGACACCCAGCATGTAGCACAATGGCAGCTAAGGTGTCCAGTGCGTCTGTGTTTACTGCTTTTCCTTTATCTAAACATCTGATCCTACAAACACCACACTTCCTGTCCCTGGGTGGCTACACTTACCCACACCACTGTATCTAAAGTGGGATCCATGGTTGTCACTTAGGTTGGACCTTAAACCTGTCTTCCCCACTTCCTCTCCATTATACTGGGGTGAAGGTGGGGTTGGGGGTGAGGGAATTAGTAGTTTAGAGAAGGAAGACAACTTTGTGATTTCAATTCAGTGAAGACTAGTAAACTGCAATACATTAAATCTTTGTTCTTGTATTCAGATATTCTTTAGGATGTATCTTTCACAGGGTGTTTTTTCCTTTCAGTGTTTTTTTTGTGACCACAGATACAACTGTGAAAGTAGAAGGGTTTCAGGCCAGGTCAGGTCATTTGAAATTGTAAGCTTTACTGAGTTCAAGGAGTGATGTGTATGGCCCAATGTTCTCAGTAAGTTGCTGTAGAATATGTAAACCCTATATAAACAAGTAAGATAAAATTTGATCAAATTATGTTGCATGTATCTGTCTATTCAGTTACCATTGCATGTTGTTCATTCAAAGACTTTACTACATGTTTAGGAGAGAAAATCGGTCGTATGACTATTATACGGGGAGGTTACGCTGCTAAGCTGATACTACTGGTGGCTGGGGTGCAGATGGATACCCTGTTAGCCATCACCCCTAAGTTCTTTCTTATGACTCATTATGAATTCTTCTTTAACATGGTCTTTGCCATTCTGGAGGAAAAGACTGACAACCCATCATAGCTTCTGTCCTGCATTTTCCCCTACAATTCCCTATTATTGCATTAATGCACTCATGAGACTATGCCATGGATCTAACTTCGCCCCTACAAAGAGGAAATCTCTCAAAATGCCTCCCTGGCATATAGTTAACAAGTACTCTTTAAATTCTGCAGTCTGGTTCTAAAAAATATTTTCTATTTTATAGCTTTTTAGATAATGTGCTTATGTTTTGCAGTGATCTAAGGCATCTAATGATGGCAGCTTTAGAGGATGTGGCGTATTTAACAGGGACCTTTCTTTATTAGTTTTTATTAAAGGTCGTACATCTACAGATGAATTTAAGTGGTTTAGTCAACAAAGCTCTTTACTTTTATGCTGTACACAGAAAAACTGCGTAATGAAATTAGACAGACAGCAGCAGTACAGCAAAGGTAAACCTTAGCTTAATCAGTTGTTCTAATAGCAAATACATCAGTGTACACCATTTGGGACCTGTGCCAATAAAAACCCTTTTTAAAGGCTCTGTATTAAAGTGAACCTTTCCTCTTTGAAATATGAAAGTTGCTATTGCTGACCTCCTGAAAACGCCAGTTGCCTGGAACAAGTATGCAGACCAGGAAAACCAAAATAAAATGATTTGGTCTACATGTTTGTTTTTGGGTGAGTATCTCAAAATATTTATGCAGACGGGTCCATGTGACAGCTAGGCAACAAGCAGCAATGACAGATTTAATATTTCTCTTGGGAAAGGTTTTAGTATCCTTATGGTGTGTCCCTCTAGGACAGTGGTTCTCAACCTGTGGGTCGCAACCCCTTTGGGGGTCGAACAACCCTTTCACAGGGGTCACCTAAGACCATCGGAAAACACATATTTCCAATGTGTAAGAGCAGCTACTGTGTAGAAAGCAGGCTGCTGTGTTTTTGAAAGCAGCTACTCTGTTAAAAGCAGCTACTGTGTAGAAAGCAGCAGTATTGGAGGTAAAAACGACACTTCATGAATTATAATTACTGGGTAAATAATTTTATGGTTGGAGGCAGGGGCGGACTGACCATTTGGAAACTCGGGCACTGCCCGAGGGCCCGGGGTCAGTGGGGGGCCCCATGAGATGCCCCTGATACCTTTTTCATAGGCTTTTTTGAGTTTGGGCAAGGACACGGGCCCCATGATCCCCTATTGCCTCCTGGTTGGGGGTCAGCACAACATGAGGAACTGTATTAAAGGGTCGTGGCATTAGGAAGGTTGAGAACCACGGCTCTAGGACAAAGAAGCAGGTATTACCCCTTCATTACCAGGCCATTTTCAGTGCTGTGATAATTTGATTGACAATTACCTTATCATGCAACACTGTATCTAAATACATTTTATTTAATTTTTTGAAAACTTTCTTGTGGTGGTATTTGGTTCACGATATAAAAGAACAAACATTTGTAGCCAAGTGCCAACTTAGCATGCAACCCCTGCCCGCCCCCCCCCCCCCCCCTTTGCATTGAGGAATGCCAGTACGTGGCATGGTTATACCATCTGAAGGGGCACAGGTCAGTCACCCAACTTTTTAAGTACTTTGTAACCTACTAAATCAATGTGCTGGCATTATGCTGTGGT